TTACCCTGCCTCTCTTGGGGAGACTCGTGCCCATGTTGTGTGAACAACTCTGCACGAGCACCTAAGGAGGCTTACCTCCTTACCAGCCCGTGGTGGCGCGTACGTGTCTCTACTGAGATGTACGAATGGATTGACAACCTGAAATCCCTTTACGACCGTGCCGGGAAGACTTTCTCCGGCGGTCCTTCTGCGGCACAGGATGTGCCGCGTCGTACTGCTCAACCAGACCCAGTACGTCGATCATCAGTTGGGAGCGGGGCTCCCAAGAATCCCAGGACGGGGGATAGCCGCGCCACCGGACGAGATAACTCGTCCGACGTCCGTTCACATCGCGGTGGTTCAACAGCTGCTCAACCAGATAGCGCTGGCCACCGCGAGAGTCCTCTAATGGAGGTGGAGGAGGAGGAAAGACGCTCTCCACACGATCATGTGGATCGGTGTGTTCCCGAGAGTTTCTTTGATCGCGTAACGCAAGGGTTACGCGACGATCTCGAACATGAGCGGAATAGGCGTCTCCAAATGGCGGACACTGCCTCGAAGCATCGAGCTGAGTTTGCCTTTGCTCAGCTTGAGAACGAGAGATCTCTGACATCTCTTCGTGACGAGCTAAGGGTAGCTCGTGGGATTGCTGATCGGTCTCGGGATGAGATAGCTGCTCTTCAGACCCTTGTTGATGCCCACCATCGGGAGCACAAGGCTCTCTGCGAGATGCTTGAGCGCAAGGGCGTTCTTCATCGGAAGAAGCAGCGTACTGATGGTACGGCTTAAGCCGACCAAACGTAAAACGTGGGATGCGTTCGCATCTTACGTGGTAACTCGATCGTGTATGCATTGCCTAGGCGGTGCAATACACGAAATGGGCCGATGTACTTGGGTAGTAGTTTACTGCTACCCAAGTTAGTCACTACATGCTTTGGTAGATTAACCGTAGACAGTAGGACTAAGTCACCTTTATTAAATAAAAGAGTGTTTGCCCTTCCATTCTTGTCAGCGTTTTGCTTTTGCTTATCCACCGCTTCGGCGATGGAGTCTTGCACAAAACGGACTACCGTTTCACGAGCCAGTATGAACTCATCTGATGACTCGTTAGCTTCAGTGTGCTGTGAGCGCACTGCAGCAACATCAACCTTTTCTTCAGTGAGGGCTTCCGCACTCTCACTGGGATCATCTTCTTCAGTGAGGGCTTCCGCACTCTCACTGGCATCATCTTCTTCGATATCGATGTTATCGATATCGGCATCAAACGCAATGACTTCTTCGTCAGAGCGTGATGAGCGTGAACCAATTCGGTTTTTGCTCGCGCGAGTCCCTCCCCCTTAAACCAGAGTTACACTCTAGTAAGGTGGGGACACGCGGATGGCGCAAGCCATTCACGTAAAACGGTGTATGTGTCGTGGACGCATGCACCGAGTTGTTGATGGCAAACTCTACCATTGGCAAAAACTCACTCCAACTCTTAAAGGAGTGTACGTATCCTCGAAGTATCTCTTCAAGGACACGATTGGCACGTTCCGTCTGACCATCTGACTCTGGATGATCAGATGTTGACATCTTCAAGCGCGTTCCGAGTGATTTGAACACGGAACGCCAGAAATCAGCAGTGAATCGTGGATCTCTGTCTGATACGAGTTCACTGGGCAACCCATGAAGTCGGAAGATGGTGTCAATAAAGACACAAGCACAGCCACTTGCCGTGATTGTCTCTGGTACAGCCACAAGGTGTACCATTTTGCTGAATCTGTCAACAAATACGAGGATACCCGTATTCCCGCGTGCGTCTTTGGGTAACCCGAAGACGAAATCCATTGAGATGGATTCCCAGCACTCAGCCGGAACCGGTAGAGGCTGTAAAGGTGCACGCAGTGAAGGACTTGACTTCACTCGTTGACAGACTTCGCATGCGCGAACATACTTTCGCACAAACTGATACTGGCGGGGCCAGTAAAAGTCTCGACTTACCGTGAGATATGTTTTCTCTCGGCCACGATGTCCTCCTATAGGAGCATCGTGATACTCGAACATGATCCGCAAACGCAGATCAGTATCATCTGGAATGACAACACGTGGTGTGTCACCAGAAACGGCTGTATAATACAGTAAACCGTTACGAGTAGTGTATCGATCTGATGCAGATCGATACGCAGGCGACAATCGTTTCAACGATTCTCAGGATGGTTGGGAGAGATATGTAAACAACTTCACTATCTCACCATCTTGGGCGTACGCCCGCCTCACATCATCATACAACGTTGTAGATGGGACTGAGGACGTCATAACCGCAACAGTGACTGTCTCACTGTTGGGTTTCGCGACTGTTTCAAAGTCGGGACGACGTGAGAGTGCATCAGCGACGACGTTAAGTCGTCCTGGTTTGTACTCGACCGTAAAGTTGTATTCTGCAAAGAATGACAACCACCGCGCCATTCGTTGTGAAAGGTGCGGGCTGTTCACTGCCGTGCGTAATGACGCATGGTCAGTGTGAACAATGAAGGGTCTATCTCCTAATAGATAGACTCTGAACTTCGCGAGTGCATACTTCATGGCAAGGAGTTCCTTGTCATGCACTGGATAGTTCCGCTCAGCTGGTTGCAGCTGACGCGACTGATAGCAGACGACGCGTTCAACGCCTTCAAGATCGTACTGCATTGATGCACAGCCGATTGCGAAATCGCTGGCATCACAGACCACATGAAATGGCCTGTCCTGATCGGCTATTGCTAGGACTGGGGATTGTATCAAGCTCTGCTTGATACCCTCAAAGGAGCGTTTACATTCAGCGTTCCATAACCACCTCTCGTTCTTTTTCAACAAACGAGAGAGGTGCACAGTCATTTCGGCGTAATTGCGTGAATACTTATGCAAATACGCCGCTAGCCCAAGGAATTTTCGAAGACCTTTGACATCAACCGGCACAGGCCAGTCCGTGATCGCCTTGATCTTTTCGGGATCAGGACGTACACCGTTCTTACCAACGATGCACCCAAGAAGTGGTATTTCGCTTGCGGCAAATATACACTTCTTGAGGTTTGCATACAATTGATGCTTTCGCATGATTGTAAGAACCTGTCGGACGTGGTACCTGTGAACCTCAACGTCCGACTTTCCATCCATAGCTCAACTATGGATGAATACGTCATCGAAATAACTCGGCGCGAATTCTCGTACTGGTCTCAACAGATGTGATACACATCTGTTGAACGTGGCAGGGGCATTACTAAGCCCTTGTGGCATTACTAGCCATTCCCAGAGCATGCCGCTAGGCGTGCTAACTGCGGTATAGGTTATATCCCGTTCCCGCATAAGGATTTGATAGAAGCCATCCATCAAATCCATGGACGAAAAGATGGTACTCTTTGACATACCATCAATGATTACGTCCTTCCTTGGTATCGGCGTCTGAGCCGGTACCGTTGCAGCGTTCAATTTGTTGAACGCGTGCACTATCCGCCACCCTCCTGTTGCTTTTCGCACACAGAAGGTCGGAGAGCTATGCGGAGAAGTTGATTCCCTCACATGGCCCGCTGCTAAACGATCGGCAAAGAACTTGTCGATCGCAAGTACTTGTTCACGAGGCAGTGGCCACTGCTTCATGACATAGTACTTCGAGCCTGGTTTAAGCTCGACCTCGTGTCGAATACCTTTATCCTTCGGTAATTCGCACGGAACAGTTTCAGGGAATACATCCTTGAATTCAACCAAATCTTCATAGAGAGGATTTGTCCTGAGCGATTCCCACGATTAGGAGTCATATCGCTCAATTCGTGTCTTTTCATCTAGGACACTCTCGTCCATAGATGAACTACTGAGAACTCTCTCGTTCCCAGTAAACACTGTTGCTGACCTTATGTCGGTTACACACTCGTCGTCAGCGACGAGTACGCAGATCTGCTTGACTTTGCCACTACGCAGATCACGCAAGAACCTTTTATGTTCGAGCGTTGGCAACTGAGTGATCTCCGAAGTTAACTTCGGAGGCGCAATCAGATCAAGTGTATAAGCGCCTACACTTGATCCGTTATTGACTATGACATTCAATGTCTCTGTCATTTCCTGGGGACTTATTCCCTCAGGCTTCGAAGGACTTATTCCTTCGGCTTCCCGGGGACTTATTCCCGCGGGTTTCGGGGAACTTATTTCCGCCGTATTTGTGATCTTGGGACTTATTCCCTTTACTTCCTCTAGCTGGGGTTGCGCAACCACAGCGAGATCCTCTACGAAAGACTCTCCAGTCGATCTAGGATTATCGTTTCGCTTAACCTGAGCGATCGATTGTTTCTCTTCTAAATGTTCCCCGCTAGGGATACATCTTTGTCCCAGTCCACCCGACTTATTCGAGTGGTGGACCTTCGGCGCAGCCTGTGTTTCCTCACAGCCGCCGGAACTTTGCTCCGAAGTGTAACCGTTTGGTACACTAAGGTTTTGTGCAGTCGTACTAACGACCGTACCACAAGTGAGGCCATCGCACTCACTCGTAGTACATCCACACGCTTGTGGACGCTCCAAAACGTTCATCAGATGGCCATCTGATGAACAAGCGGCAGGCATCGTTAGTGTTCGATGTTGCCAGTTTACCCGTGGTTCGTACCTTCTGAGCCACGGTATTCCAAGGATGACATCAAATTTGTCATCCAAATCCAATACGATGAAGTCATCGTCATATTGGGTATCTTCTAGCGTATAGTGGATCTTCATTATACGCTTCAGGACGGTTACGGATGCGCCTGTCGCAAGACGTACCGTCATCCTCGTAGGAGGTGTGTCACATTCACTGAATTTAAAGTGACCATCTTCTAGCGATTGGCGTTGCACAAAATTGTTGGACGCCCCACAATCGACTAGAGCTCGAAGGGACAACTTATTCGTCACTTCGAGTTTCAAGGTAATGAGTGAGACCTCATTACCTAGAGCAGCAACGCACAACGTTTGTGTGTTGGGAGCAACCTTCATCAAGAGGCCTACAAATTCTCTTGACGTTGCTAGACCAGTAGGGTGATCCGCACCTACTGATCCTGTCCGTTTTTTGACGGTCCATCCCGGTGTTGCGTCTTTGCACCAGCAGCGGACCCGCGTCCCTGCCCCTTTCTCATGGGTGGACGGTCACTACGCCCAGTGTCGCGAGACACTGGACGAGGGGCACTACACTCGTAAGCGTAGTGTCCTGTCTTTTGACATCTGTTGCATCTCTGCAACTTCTTGTAGCCTGTAGAGCGAGCCTTCTCGCTCTCTACATAACAGAGTTCCATCGGCTCTGGACCTCCGCTGTCATATCGTCTCGGTTGACGATATGATGTCGAGCTGGCGCGAGCCTGTCTCAGACTGAAGTCTTCCTGCTCCGCAATGGAAATGGCTTGTTCTAGTGAATCTAGTTCAAGCCGGAACAGGTGAGTCTTGACGGGACCATCCGCAAGACCCTGCATGAACACCGAAACCAACGTGTGTTCATCCACCGGATTGGAACTTATACAACTCGTGAGATGTCGTATGTGTTGAGCGTAAGCGTGCACATCACGCTTACCCTGCTTGAGCTTCAAGAGTTCGGTTCGAGCCCTGAACTCAGCTCTAGGCGGTTCAAACGTTTGTCTGAGCCGCGACTTAAAGACTTCCAACGACCCAAACGCTTATGGGTCGTGCAACTTGAGCCCCAGTGCCCAAGTCTTGGCACGTCCTGCCAGATTTGACTGGGCAAATGCAACTTGCATATCCCCGTCGTCGATGCGACGCGCCCTTATGGCATCATCCAATTCGACGAACCATCTCAAGAGGGAGTCTGCTTCGACCCCCCTATACTTGGAGATGTCAATCTTCAAGGTTTCGGGTCGACGCGAGTGCATCGACCCACCAGCAGCAGCTTGCTGCTGTCTCAACAGTTCAAACTGTTGAGCACCCTGTTCTCTCAACAACTCTGCTTGTTGAGAACCTTGTTGGTGAAGCAAGGCTACTTTCTCGCGTTCAGCGTCAAGTTCATTTTGAATGAACTTGGCGATAGTAGCATGTTGGGCATCTCTATTGAGAGCCTCTAGCATGACGCTAACAGCATGGATTCCCATGGTTGAACCCATTCGTTCAACCGCATCCCATTCGACATCGCTCAAATGGGAGTAGCCGTCACGCGTAGCGTGAAATCTTTGGTCATCTTCATCATCCAACATATTCATGTTGGATGTGAACGCGGTCCTTGGACGGACTACGAAGTGCTACCAGGTGTAACGGGGCACCCTGAAGCTTGTACTGGTGACAGTACAAGCTACTTATTCTGATGACAGAATAAGGCGGTGCCTCGTAACTTCACGTACACTCGTACGTGCAGAGGAAGACGGTAAGAAGAAGCGAGTACTTGGTTAAAGTAAAAAGTAGAACTGTATTTATAATAGTTAATGTCTGCAATAAATCACTATTTACCTTCATCTAACTATGTCTAAATACAAATGTGTAAATCAGTTATCTGCTCACCACTCATTGCGTGCGTCTGTCGTGGCGCGTCTTCGTTGGTTGATATAATGGCCTGTATCAACCAATTAGGAACTACTCGTAAGTGCTACAGAATATTTGTCCTTATGACAATATTCTGACAATATAACTCTTATAGTTATATTCTATTAACAATTTCTTATAAATTGTTATGTAACGATTCACCCCGTTACAGCTTGGGCAACCCTCACTTGGGCAACCCTCACTGTAACGGGGTGAATCGTTACATAAAAATTTATAAGAAATTGTTAATAGAATATAACTATAAGAGTTATATTCTCAGAATATTGTCATAAGTACAAATATTCTGTAGCACTTACGAGTAGTTCCTAATTGGTTGATATAGGCCATTATATCAACCAACGAAGACGCGCCACGACAGACGCACGCAATGAGTGGTGAGCAGATAACTGATTTACACATTTGTATTTAGACATAGTTAGATGAAGATAAATAGTGATTTATTGCAGACATTAACTATACTAAATACAGTTCTACGTTTTACTTTAACCAAGTACTCGCTTCTTCTTACCGTCTTCCTCTGCACGTACGAGTGTACGTGAAGTTACGAGGCACCGCCTTATTCTGTCATCAGAATAAGTAGCTTGTACTGTCACCAGTACAAGCTTCAGGGTGCCCCGTTACACCTGGTAGCACTTCGTAGTACGTCCAAGGACCACGTTCACATCCAACATGAATATGTTGGATGATGAAGATGACCAAAGATTTCACGCTACGCGTGACGGCTACTCCCATTTGAGCGATGTCGAATGGGATGCGGTTGAACGAATGGGTTCAACCATGGGAATCCATGCTGTTAGCGTCATGCTAGAGGCTCTCAATAGAGATGCCCAACATGCTACTATCGCCAAGTTCATTCAAAATGAACTTGACGCTGAACGCGAGAAAGTAGCCTTGCTTCACCAACAAGGTTCTCAACAAGCAGAGTTGTTGAGAGAACAGGGTGCTCAACAGTTTGAACTGTTGAGACAGCAGCAGGCTGCTGCTGGTGGGTCGATGCACTCGCGTCGACCCGAAACCTTGAAGATTGACATCTCCAAGTATAGGGGGGTCGAAGCAGACTCCCTCTTGAGATGGTTCGTCGAATTGGATGACGCCATAAGGGCGCGTCGCATCGACGACGGGGATATGCAAGTTGCATTTGCCCAGTCAAATCTGGCAGGACGTGCCAAGACTTGGGCACTGGGGCTCAAGTTGCACGACCCATATGCGTTTGGGTCGTTGGAAGTCTTCAAGTCGCGGCTCAGACAAACGTTTGAACCGCCTAGAGCTGAGTTCAGGGCTCGAACCGAACTCTTGAAGCTCAAGCAGGGTAAGCGTGATGTGCACGCTTACGCTCAACACATACGACATCTCACGAGTTGTATAAGTTCCAATCCGGTGGATGAACACACGTTGGTTTCGGTATTCATGCAGGGTCTTGCGGATGGTCCCGTCAAGACTCACCTGTTCCGGCTTGAACTAGATTCACTAGAACAAGCCATTTCCATTGCGGAGCAGGAAGACTTCAGTCTGAGACAGGCTCGCGCCAGCTCGACATCATATCGTCAACCGAGACGATATGACAGCGGAGGTCCAGAGCCGATGGAACTCTGTTATGTAGAGAGCGAGAAGGCTCGCTCTACAGGCTACAAGAAGTTGCAGAGATGCAACAGATGTCAAAAGACAGGACACTACGCTTACGAGTGTAGTGCCCCTCGTCCAGTGTCTCGCGACACTGGGCGTAGTGACCGTCCACCCATGAGAAAGGGGCAGGGACGAGGGTCCGCAGTTGGTGCAAAGACGCAACAACGGGATGGACCGTCAAAAAACGGACAGGATCAGTAGGTGCGGAGCACCCTACTGATCCAGCAACGTCAAGAGAATTTGTAGGCCTCTTGATGAAGGTTGCTCCCAACACACAAACGTTGTGCGTTGCTGCTCTAGGTAATGAGGTCTCACTCATTACCTTGAAACTCGAAGTGACGAATAAGTTGTCCCTTCGAGCTCTAGTCGATTGTGGGGCGTCCAACAATTTTGTGCAACGCCAATCGCTAGAAGATGGTCACTTTAAATTCAGTGAATGTGACACACCTCCTACGAGGATGACGGTACGTCTTGCGACAGGCGCATCCGTAACCGTCCTGAAGCGTATAGTGAAGATCCACTATACGCTAGAAGATACCCAATATGACGATGACTTCATCGTATTGGATTTGGATGACAAATTTGATGTCATCCTTGGAATACCGTGGCTCAGAAGGTACGAACCACGGGTAAACTGGCAACATCGAACACTAACGATGCCTGCCGCTTGTTCATCAGATGGCCATCTGATGAACGTTTTGGGGCGTCCACAAGCGTGTGGATGTACTACGAGTGAGTGCGATGGCCTCACTTGTGGTACGGTCGTTAGTACGACTGCACAAAACCTTAGTGTACCAAACGGTTACACTTCGGAGCAAATTTCCGGCGGCTGTGAGAAAACACAGGCTGCGCCGAAGGTCCACCACTCGAATAAGTCGGGTGGACTGGGACAAAGATGTATCCCTAGCGGGGAACATTTAGAAGAGAAACAATCGATCGCTCAGGTTAAGCGAAACGATAATCCTAGATCGACTGGAGAGTCTTTCGTAGAGGATCTCGCTGTGGTTGCGCAACCCCAGCTAGAGGAAGTAAAGGGAATAAGTCCCAAGATTACAAATACGGCGGAAATAAGTTCCCCGAAACCCGCGGGAATAAGTCCCCGGGAAGCCGAAGGAATAAGTCCTTCGAGGCCTGAGGGAATAAGTCCCCAGGAAATGACAGAGACATTGAATGTCATAGTCAATAACGGATCAAGTGTAGGCGCTTATACACTTGATCTGATTGCGCCTCCGAAGTTAACTTCGGAGATCACTCAGTTGCCAACGCTCGAACATAAAAGGTTCTTGCGTGATCTGCGTAGTGGCAAAGTCAAGCAGATCTGCGTACTCGTCGCTGACGACGAGTGTGTAACCGACATAAGGTCAGCAACAGTGCTTACTGGGAACGAGAGAGTTCTCAGTAGTTCATCTATGGACGAGAGTGTCCTAGATGAAAAGACACGAATTGAGCGATATGACTCCCAATCGTGGGAATCGCTCAGGACAAATCCTCTCTATGAAGATTTGGTTATTCAAGGATGTATTCCCTGAAACTGTTCCGTGCGAATTACCGAAGGATAAAGGTATTCGACACGAGGTCGAGCTTAAACCAGGCTCGAAGTACTATGTCATGAAGCAGTGGCCACTGCCTCGTGAACAAGTACTTGCGATCGACAAGTTCTTTGCCGATCGTTTAGCTGCGGGCCATGTGAGGGAATCAACTTCCCCACATAGCTCTCCGACCTTCTGTGTGCGAAAAGCAACAGGAGGGTGGCGGATAGTGCACGCGTTCAACAAATTGAACGCTGCAACGGTACCGGCTCAGACGCCGATACCGAGGAAGGACGTAATCATTGATGGTATGTCAAAGAGTACCATCTTTTCGTCCATGGATTTGATGGATGGCTTCTATCAAATCCTTATTCGGGAACGGGATATAACCTATACCGCAGTTAGCACGCCTAGCGGCATGCTCTGAGAATGGCTAGTAATGCCACAAGGGCTTAGTAATGCCCCTGCCACGTTCAACAGATGTGTATCACATCTGTTGAGACCAGTACGAGAATTCGCGCCGAGTTATTTCGATGACGTATTCATCCATAGTCGAGCTATGGATGGAAAGTCGGACGTTGAGGTTCACAGGTACCACGTCCGACAGGTTCTTACAATCATGCGAAAGCATCAATTGTATGCAAACCTCAAGAAGTGTATATTTGCCGCAAGCGAAATACCACTTCTTGGGTGCATCGTTGGTAAGAACGGTGTACGTCCTGATCCCGAAAAGATCAAGGCAATCACGGACTGGCCTGTGCCGGTTGATGTCAAAGGTCTTCGAAAATTCCTTGGGCTAGCGGCGTATTTGCATAAGTATTCACGCAATTACGCCGAAATGACTGTACACCTCTCTCGTTCGTTGAAAAAGAACGAGAGGTGGTTATGGAGCGCTGACATTCAGCGCTCCTTTGATGGTATCATGCAGAGCTTGATACAATCCCCAGTCCTAGCAATAGCCTATCAGGACAGGCCATTTCATGTGGTCTGTGATGCCATCGATTTCGCAATCGGCTGTGCATTGATGCAGTACGATCTTGAAGGCGTTGAACGCGTCGTCTGCTATCAGTCGCGTCAGCTGCAACCAGCTGAGCGGAACTATCCAGTGCATGACAAGGAACTCCTTGCCATGAAGTATGCACTCGCGAAGTTCAGAGTCTATCTATTAGGAGATAGACCCTTCATTGTTTACACTGACCATGCGTCATTACGCACGGCAGTGAACAGTCCGCACCTTTCACAACGAATGGCGCGGTGGTTGTCATTCTTTGCAGAATACAACTTTACGGTCGAGTACAAACCAGGACGACTTAACGTCGTCGCTGATGCACTCTCACGTCGTCCCGACTTTGAAACAGTCGCGAAACCCAACAGTGAGACAGTCACTGTTGCGGTTATGACGTCCTCAGTCCCATCTACAACGTTGTATGATGATGTGAGGCGGGCATACGCCCAAGATGGTGAGATAGTGAAGTTGTTTACATATCTCTCCCAACCATCCCGAGAATCGTTGAAACGATTGTCTCCTGCGTATCGATCTGCATCAGATCGATACACTACTCGTAACGGTTTACTGTATTATACAGCCGTTTCTGGTGACACACCACGTGTTGTCATTCCAGATGATACTGATCTGCGTTTGCGGATCATGTTCGAGTATCACGATGCTCCTATAGGAGGACATCGTGGCCGAGAGAAAACATATCTCACGGTAAGTCGAGACTTTTACTGGCCCCGCCAGTATCAGTTTGTGCGAAAGTATGTTCGCGCATGCGAAGTCTGTCAACGAGTGAAGTCAAGTCCTTCACTGCGTGCACCTTTACAGCCTCTACCGGTTCCGGCTGAGTGCTGGGAATCCATCTCAATGGATTTCGTCTTCGGGTTACCCAAAGACGCACGCGGGAATACGGGTATCCTCGTATTTGTTGACAGATTCAGCAAAATGGTACACCTTGTGGCTGTACCAGAGACAATCACGGCAAGTGGCTGTGCTTGTGTCTTTATTGACACCATCTTCCGACTTCATGGGTTGCCCAGTGAACTCGTATCAGACAGAGATCCACGATTCACTGCTGATTTCTGGCGTTCCGTGTTCAAATCACTCGGAACGCGCTTAAATATGTCGACATCTGATCATCCAGAGTCAGATGGTCAGACGGAACGTGCCAATCGTGTCCTTGAAGAGATACTTCGAGGATACGTACACTCCTTTAAGAGTTGGAGTGAGTTTTTGCCAATGGTAGAGTTTGCCATCAACAACTCGGTGCATGCGTCCACGACACATACACCGTTTTACGTGAATGGCTTGCGCCATCCGCGTGTCCCCACCTTACTAGAGTGTAACTCTGGTTTAAGGGGGGAGGGACTCGCGCGAGCAAAAACCGAATTGGTTCACGCTCATCACGCTCTGACGAAGAAGTCATTGCGTTTGATGCCGATATCGATAACATCGATATCGAAGAAGATGATGCCAGTGAGAGTGCGGAAGCCCTCACTGAAGAAGATGATCCCAGTGAGAGTGCGGAAGCCCTCACTGAAGAAAAGGTTGATGTTGCTGCAGTGCGCTCACAGCACACTGAAGCTAACGAGTCATCAGATGAGTTCATACTGGCTCGTGAAACGGTAGTCCGTTTTGTGCAAGACTCCATCGCCGAAGCGGTGGATAAGCAAAAGCAAAACGCTGACAAGAATGGAAGGGCAAACACTCTTTTATTTAATAAAGGTGACTTAGTCCTACTGTCTACGGTTAATCTACCAAAGCATGTAGTGACTAACTTGGGTAGCAGTAAACTACTACCCAAGTACATCGGCCCATTTCGTGTATTGCACCGCCTAGGCAATGCATACACGATCGAGTTACCACGTAAGATGCGAACGCATCCCACGTTTTACGTTTGGTCGACTTAAGCCGTACCATCAGTACGCTGCTTCTTCCGATGAAGAACGCCCTTGCGCTCAAGCATCTCGCAGAGAGCCTTGTGCTCCCGATGGTGGGCAACAAGGGTCTGAAGAGCTGCTATCTCATCCCGAGACCGATCAGCAATCCCACGAGCTACCCTTAGCTCGTCACGAAGAGATGTCAGAGATCTCTCGTTCTCAAGCTGAGCAAAGGCAAACTCAGCTCGATGCTTCGAGGCAGTGTCCGCCATTTGGAGACGCCTATTCCGCTCATGTTCGAGATCGTCGCGTAACCCTTGCGTTACGCGATCAAAGAAGCTCTCGGGAACACACCGATCCACATGATCGTGTGGAGAGCGTCTTTCCTCCTCCTCCACCTCCATTAGAGGACTCTTGCGGTGGCCAGCGCTGTCTGGTTGAGCAGTTGTTGAACTACCGCGACGTGAACGGACTTCGGACGAGTTATCTCGTCCGGTGGCGCGGCTATCCCCCGTCCTGGGATACTTGGGAGCCCCGCTCCCAACTGATGATTGACGTACTTAGTCTGGTTGAGCAGTACGACGCGGCACATCCTGTGCCGCAGAAGGACCGCCGGAGAAAGTCTTCCCGGCACGGTCGTAAAGGGATTTCAGGTTGTCAATACCTTCGTACATCTCAGTAGAGATACGTACGCGCCACCACGGGCTGGTAAGGAGGTAAGCCTCCTTAGGTGCTCGTGCAGAGTTGTTCACACAACATGGGCACGAGTCTCCCCAAGAGAGGCAGGGTAATCCTTTCTCCCTTGACAGACGATGCAGCTTGTAGCGTGCACCTGTCGGGGTTCGCTTTTCAAACTTATCGCGAGCTTTGATAAGTTTGTCGTTCCAAGCGTCACGACCTACATCCTCAAGGTTATGGATGTAGGCGTTCCACGCCTGAAGCAGTGAGGGACCATCACGCTTGTGATTCCCACTGTACCATCGATGTCTAAAGAAAGCATCGATGAAGAATTCATGTTCAGCGCGATAGTTTTTCGCGCTGGGGTCAAGGTGATGGATCCTTGACGAATCGAACAATCGTGTTCGATAACGATCACTCGTCGTCGCCGACAAGTGATCCATGACGGATTTTGGAGGCATCCATGCCTTCTTTTCGGGAGCGAGACGCAACGCATTGCGGTCCCGCTCTTCCTGCGTCGTGCCGACAGATGGACTGGCACCTCGTTGCGAAGTGGTGTCCATAGGAGAACCGACACCACTATTAGCGCCCGAGTCTCGCGACCTCGAGCGCCTTCGCTTCGGCGATGGTTCATCTGATTCATCAGATGAACCAAAGATGTTGCGACGCAAAGCATCGTCCATGCCACGCTTGGCAGGCGGCTTAGATTCAATCGCCGTCGATACGGATCCGTCATCCGTATCAGGAGAGTACGAGACACCGAGCTCGTACTCTGTGAAGACATGAGTGTCTTCATGACCAGCGCCTGCATCACCAAGTGACACAGGCTGGGTCGCTTCAGCAACCGATGAGACATCAGTTGCTGTTTTTTCTGCTTCGGCGTCCGCACAGAGACGTGCAGACGCGCTCTCGGCGGCCTTGCTCGCGCATCGCATGGGCTTGTTAACCATGCGATGAAATGTTGGGAAGTGGACTCGGACCAACAAGTGCAAACCCCGTCCCAAATGATTTGGGACGAGTATCCATTTAGTCAATCAGTCACTAAAGTGACTGATGGTTAAGGGGGGTGATGTAACGGGGTGAATCGTTACATAACAATTTATAAGAAATTGTTAATAGAATATAACTATAAGAGTTATATTCTCAGAATATTGTCATAAGTACAAATATTCTGTAGCACTTACGAGTAGTTCCTAATTGGTTGATATAGGCCATTATATCAACCAACGAAGACGCGCCACGACAGACGCACGCAATGAGTGGTGAGCAGATAATTGATTTACACATTTGTATTTAGACATAGTTAGATGAAGATAAATAGTGATTTATTGCAGACATTAACTATTACTAAATACAGTTCTACTTTTTACTTTAACCAAGTACTCGCTTCTTCCTACCGTCTTCCTCTGCACGTACAAGTGTACGTGAAGTTACGAGGCACCGCCTTATTCTGTCATCAGAATAAGTAGCTTGTACTGTCACCATTACAAGCTTCAGGGTGCCCCGTTACACAAGCTAAGCCTGACGTAGTAAGGCGTAATGAGTGCAGCAATGACATCGCAGATATTTTGTACATTCGAACGTAAGTGGAGGAGGACCGGATGGATATCGCAGGTGGTCAAGAGGGTAATAACAAAAGTTTTGGCAAAGGGATGTTTCTGCCGTTATGGTTCAGAAGCATTATACCGATTGATATAGTATGCTGGTATGTACTATTGATTAGTACACTACATGGATTTGACCTCGATTGTGACGTTGTTTTACCCACATATGACCACCCCTTCCGATATTAAACGAACGTGCAATCACATAATCCATGAGTTTTTTGGGACTGTCCAATTGCGCGAGCATGTTGGACATTACTTATCCGCTACTGGACAGGGGGGGGCAAATGTCAACTCATTAATTCTTTACATGCGACCTTTTGCCTATCGTCCGGCTCCTCCGCTATCGCATCACCTTCGGCAGCGTTTATTCATCGTTTCCAAGACGGCCACACCGCCGCAGAGGTAGAATTTTTACGCGTATGGTTCGTACTAAGTTCCGTATGTCACGAGCATCTATGGATGGGGCGAAATGCGGCGGTCTTCCGTGGTGAAAAAATCTTCACCGATTGGGAGCATTACCATCTTCTGGGAGCGCGGGATGCGACAGCTCAAGGCTATCGCCGTACAACAACATAGGACTGCGGCGACCGCAGTTAGCGGGGCGCGGCCTAATGCTTGCCTTGAAGTACTCGTTTAAGAGCCCCAAGGGCACTCAGATCAACGATCCATCAGCATGACAAACACCGACCTCCGGTGCTAGTGTCCTGGCTCAGGACTTTTCAGACATCTTGCACATGTTAACTAACATGTAAAAAGACTTCTACGAAACTCCATATACTCTATGAGGTCCGTCAGCAAAAATAAAGCTGACGATGCGAAATGAAGATACGAGATAACTCATTGAATCTCTTGAGATTGTTTTACGTAGAAAAAGGACGAGAAAAGAGGTGTGATAACTGGATTGGGAAATGGGTGCGAAGATCAGGTTGTGCAGGAATGGTGCTGGTATGAGGTTTGACAAAGGTTGTGACTCAACGAAAAGAGGTGTCATTATATCAATTCTTTAAAAATAGGGAGTCGTTATACGTATCGCACTCTTCTGTTATGTGTACCACAGTCCATATTCTGTAGAAAATTGGGCCCAAAGTTATCGCTTATATAGAGGGGTGATTACGGTCTTTTCAAATGTAAAAGTTTAGATCCATCAATAGTGACGATAACCTTATCTGCGATTTGTCTTTAGCATCACAATGGGGAAAGATGTACGAGAAATGGACAAGACAACTGAGGTCATCATGGGCTGAAAGGATGAGAGCGTCATCTCTGCCACAAAGAGAACGTATACGTATCAAACACATATTTGCATTCAGCCTCGAACGTTTAGCGCAGCCGCGGTACAGACGTAATGAACGAAAAAGCTGTTCAGAAAAAAAATCGATGCGACAGTAAGTTTTCTTGCAGTATAGTGATGTACAATACTATGACAAAACGGATGAGGGAATTGCGGACAATCTAAATGGGCTCATGACAGGACAAGTGTCTACTGTTTGATAGGAATTAATAACAAGATCACACATTATCAAACGATTAAACGCTGTAAAGTACGTCCAGATGCAACATCGCAGCGAGTAGGTGACGACGCTGGAGCTGGATGACAGACTTCAGTAACTAATTAGAATGAGTGGTAGTAGTTTCGAGTGTGCAGTCACTGGAGCATATTTGTGGCGTGTTGAATTGAAGTTTGTTGCACCCGCAGGCCAGGGAAATATCAAGCTCGAGTTACTGTTGTCATTCCTTGACCAATTGATGCTGACGTGCAAGAGGTACTTCTCGGCAAGGGCAACAGTCAAGACGAAGTTTACTTTATTTTGCTCTGCTCTGCTCGTCTTCGCCGTGCTGTGTCAATCCATAAATTAACAATCACAACGCTTGTGTGAAAACGAGATGCTGTCGATTCTAGCTGGTAATCTTCCCCTTCGATAATCGTCCACGCCCTTATCGTTGGTCGAACGTCGTAGGACCAAATGATTTGGCAAACGTCTCAAGAAAAGAACAGACGAAGCATCTTGTTTTTTTTTGATAATTGCTATGGGCACCCCAGAACGCGTGCTAGAGTTGGTGTGACGTTGATACACACAAAGCGCGTTATCTTTGACAAGAATTGAAATGATATACATTTTACAGCCGGGTAAACAGACCAAAAGACGGTAATTCGAATTCGAGTCACTTCAAATTGCATCTCCATTGAGGATAATACAACCACGAACATGGTGTTAATGCTGACTGTACTGTACATATAGTAGCCGAAAATCAGAGTCTCTCAATCATTACACACGATTTAAGCGAGCCATAAACAGTTGGTCATTTTTTTCGTGTGGTAGAAAGCTAGTTACTTAAGTTGAAGCAACGCTTTTATTCTGCTCGTACTACAGACAATCATCAATGCTACAAAATTGATATCAAATAAAGATCTTGCGCATGAAAGCAATTCGTGTAATTTTTGACACGTTTAGACGTCTTACATATGCTTTCGACACTAGTTTGGGTGTGGCACCGATGCTTGATAATAAGTATGCAAAAGTACCTGAGACGACAATAATGAACACGAGAGAAATGAAATAGTCTTTGACGTCGGGACGTGAAAATGAGAAAAATAAAATAGTCTTCGACGTCGGAAGGGACAGATTCGACTACTGTTTTCTTCCTTGTGGCGCTTAACGCATTTTCGCTCCCTTCTGTAGCTATCCATCTCTGTATCTGTATCTAAACTTCTGGAAGGCGCCGAAAGAAATAGATTGGACTGCATGTGCTGAGAAGACTTGGTATCGTCGTCGGAGAGTGTACTAAACCGTCATTTATCGCTCTTTTTTGATCAACTCCGACGTCTAGTATTATCTGATTGCCTAGTCCTGGGTTGAGTGCAATAATTTCACATATATATCCAGTTGGATCTCCGAGATACCACTAACAATTAAACAAACGGTTGGAGCTCCGATCTAACACTGACGGTTTGAAATTCTTCAGCAACGATGTCATGTTCAGCAACAGAGCAAATCCAGAGTTGTAAATTTACGCAAAGACATCAAAGAGTTTTAGTTGCTACGCTTCACTAACTTCTGGAGCCTTCATGAGCTTATTTAGTGCTGTCTGTAATAAACTAGGAAGCTGGGCACGACATAAAGCAAGAGTGTCAACTCTAATCCTTCCATTCCAGTCGGTCAGGAAGCGACTACTTGTCACACAAACTATCGCCGTCTCAAACGCTATCTAACATTCCCAAGTTCGAGAAGACCACTCTTATCTACTTCAAGTCCCATCTCTCGGTCTCGTATCGCTCATGTCGCTCTTGGCTCATGTTTTTTGTTACAGAGTCAACAAGTTGCTCATATCCAGTCTTCTCTGTCTTTTTAAACATTTTACAAATCTTACAAGTCCAAATACACCCACCTTTACCGAATATTTTGCTACTCTCAGTCTCCGAGCCACTAAAATTTTTGCAATACGTCCCGCTCGAAGTGGCAGGGACCATCCATGATATCATATTTATGAGTTACTGTTGCGTGCGTTATAAAACCAACAAAAGTGCAAAGAAGATAACTGGTGGTCTTAAAGAGTACTGATGTTTCAAATCGGGCTTTGGTGCGTATAACACAAAGATGTGGTACAGATGCCCTAAACAATATTATTTGCTATACAATGAGCTGGGACCATGTAATAGGAGAGTCAGCTCTAACGAATATCATTGGTTCAAATGAAGCTGTGGTACATATGACAGAAGGTTAAGGAACTTAAAACGGGTCCAGTAAACTGATACCACGGATATGGGAAAATGAAAATTTCCCAACTCATTAGTATACCAATATTAACGTGGCGCACGTATATCGACATTGTACTTCGATAAAAGGCTTGAATTTTTAATCGTTATTCTCCCGCAATATGCTGATCCGTCTGACTTACAAAGACATATGAGTTTGATTACGGTTAGGTGGATATTCACTGAGACAGAGTGTTCTTGTGCTACTCGCGTATCAGCAAAACATTATGTCAATAAGTAGTTGGAAATGGCAAATGGATGCAAGCTGAATGCCGTAGAGAAAGTTATGTCGAATAAAACAGTTGTGTAGGCCCTTAAACATTCATTGATTACTATCTGCTTACTTAACAAGGACGCATTTAGGAGCTCGCCATTGTCTACTATTTATTTACTCTATAAAGATGCGTTCGGGAGATCTATAGCACATCGAATTAGCGCGGCAGGTGGCAAGGAACCAGATATGACTGTGAGGGGCGCACGCAAGTGCCGACGGATAAAGTCCAACAAATTTATTCAAACCTTGTTGAAGTCCGCACCGTACATTTCAATGCAAATATTTTCATCTCTTGAAACTATGAAATATATGATGGAGTGAGTCAACTATTTTACCATACCAATTTTCTTGTGTGTGTTGTCAGTAACTCTTGTAATCTCTACGCACAGCGTGCTATTCTTAGATTGTAAGGTTAGTAACAGCACCAATGAAGTCTTGAAACTGTGTATTGTAGCAACATCAAAATCTCCATCCGCACTAGTAGGGTTGTGTATCCGGTTTTCACATTGCTTTAGATTGTAATATCATATTGTACACAGCTTTCTGCACGAATAAATTACGACGGCACTATATTGTCTTACCTAGAGTAAATGGCACATATATGCGGATGAAACAGACAAAGCAACGTTCTTATACAATCAAACGACCAACAATTATAAGTTACTACGCTTGAGGCACCATCACACATTTTCCTTCTTGCCATACGCCTGCATTCGAAGAAGTGCGAAAGCTTTCAAATAAAGAAATGAGAGCCAAACAGATAGAATAGGCTCATGATAGTTTATCAAATTTTTGAGAACGCTTATGTAAATATATAAAATGAGCAGGAAGCAAATCATAATCCCACAACTACAACAACTACAACAACAACACTTCAGTACCAACAACAACAGTGTAAATAGTAACATCAACAACAGCTACAGCAGTGCTAACAAAAGCAACAGTAGCAGCGACCACAACAACAGTAGCGTCGGTAACAAAATCAACAATATCTACACCAACTATAACAACAGCGATAGCGTCAACAGAACCAACACAAACAGCAGCAGTAAAATATCAGAAGGAACAACATAATCAGCTTAGAAAAACAACGATAGTCGCAACTAAAATAAAATACTAGAAGGAACAACATAAATTGCCTAAACAATAACGATTGTAGCAACAGCAGCAGCTGAAACAAGAAAAACAACAATAACAATTATAGTATTATAATTATAAAACGACAATATTTTAATGACAAAAAACAACATCAACAACAGCAGCAGTGACCATTGAACTTTAAATGTAAAGGGGTCACACATCGTAGAATTCTTGGTACTCTGCGTCTTGGACACACGGGATGGTATCCCACTGAAAGAAATATTATATATCCTATCGGTTCATAGAGGCTGACAGGTGTCAGCCACAAGATAGGAATGATGAATAAGACATTAATTTAGAATATGAGTGCCTAGATTCGGTAATGTTGGGATCAATGTATTCTATGCAGTAAAATGGAAATAAAGTTCAGTTCCCCTTTTGACCTTGTCTGGACACGTGCCTTATGAGGCCTCTCTGATCGTTAATCGTTAAGAGTCACCCCCTGAGGTAACTACTAAGCATTAAGTGCTGAATATTCACTGAATCGTTCGGTCCCCTGGAACAGGGAACTTAAGCTTTACGCTTGTTAACTCATAGAGTCTAGTTACTTAGAACTAATATTGCTCGTTGAGCATTGAGTCTTCCTCTGACTTAAAAAGCCGAGTCGCTCCGCTACAAATGTTATTTTACGACTTATTTCTATTGTAATCATCTACAATTGATCCTTTTTGCGCAAAAACGTCGTATGGTGGACGTCATTGTTGGCGGCCTTTCATCCAAGTTAGTGATGTCATTTAGACAAAAGATGTGAGCAAGGAAGTGAGTGAGCATAAGTTCATCATTTTTCAAGCAAAGCAAGCAACGATCAGCATCACTGATGCAATACACACGTAGCATTTGTGGAGATGGTGCGGCCGTTGCATTAGGGTGGGTCAAAATGCACAACAACGTGGAAGTTTAATCGAACCAGCACTACCACCTACACAAATTAACGGACCCAATTTATAGACCAAATTACCTTCGACTGCATCCCTCAGTACAAGTCTATTAGCGTTGCAGGCACTATCACTCCTGCATTACTGAAATGGACGCTTAATTACACAAACACGCACTTTTCTCGGCTTCATTGGCAGCACGATCAACTGGAGTGTAGTAAAGTAGTATCTCACTTGTCGCGGTGCCTGTACGTCTTTGTAATAATAGGGGCGTTCGCATGCGCGCTTGTCATTAGATATCTGTGCACGACTATATTAATTTCCTCCTGATGCTATCATGCGGACCTATATTGCACATTAACAGATCCAGAACAGCACAGGAAAATCGGATAGTATTCCGTAATGAACAGGACGAATAATATAAACGCGTCACTTGCGTGCGACATGAACGATTCGAATACCCATAAAATCAAGAGTAAAGAAAGTGGCAGTCTTACCACCCACTAGCGCAGAAACCTTTGCATGAAAGCGTGATGAAGAATGCTTGCTGTTGTGGAGGCGTCTACCTAAAAATTTAACAAGTGATTAAGAGCATCTGCGGACGTAATAGCTTCGAGTCCGCAAACGTTTCAGACAATGCTTGACATAATCTTGCGCTAACGAGCACAAGTATGATTGCGAGCCATACTAAATTTGGTCCACTAGATGTAAAAAAAAACTTGTTATTGTATTGTATTATCCTCAAGGCATGTCTACAAAGAAGCCGATCATTCGTTGTATCGAATTGAGGGGATTTTACCAGAAAGCTGAGATTTACGATTCATGACGAGAACCATCCCGCAGATGATGGGCAACACTAGGTCCATTGATGTTCTCGTCAAGTGATAGAGAAGGGAACGGAGAGCTGCTACGCATTGGGTTAAGCAACGCATTTGTAGGGTCGTTAGTACACGTGAGACCCATCAAAAATTTGTCAGATAGCAGATTACGGAGAACAATTACATCCCTTGTGGGGCCGAGGCCGGGACGATTTAGCGTTTATAAGGGGTTAACACATGCTTCAAGCTTTACCCTTCGAAGCAAGATTAGTCCATGAATGGGGCGATCGGAGCCACCAGTTTCCACAGTTGCATCTTAACTGCAGCTGCCACGCGTGTTAAATTACTTCTTCTAATTCGGTGCATCAAATTGCTCCTTCCAACGTGTAGTTGTTATTGAAGGTGAGACAGATTGAGGAACATTATCGACCAGCAATACCCTATTTCAACGAGTACTACATCAAGAAAGGATAGCTTGACAATACTTTATGTACACAGACCTTGCAGGACTTGGCTAAAGTCAGCGTTTAGTCGGTTAAGCTGGATATCCAGACTAACAAGAAGAAGAATCACGTTTCATCGTGAAGCCGACAATGTTCAAAATTAATTCAGTACAGAGATCGCGCATCTTTCTGCCTCTGAAGCATCTTTATGGGCTGTAACTTGCACTTACGAGCACGTCTTCATTTCCAGTCCTGACATTAGCATCACGGCGCGAACTAGGGTGGTGCAGGAGTGCTCGATCTGCTTCATCGTCGATATCAGACTCTTTTTGTTGCTTTGGCTTGGAGCGGGAAACTTTCGCGTATCCCGAGTATATAACGCGTTGGTGGCGTCGCGCACGCTGTTTGGCTTTGTATCTCCCAATGACAATTGTCACAACGAAGCAGAAGCCCAAGATGATCGCCACTGGAAGCACCAACTGCCGGTAAACTGCCATAACTGCCTCTATCACCCATTGTTGAGCGGAGGCATACCGACCCAGCAGCCACCTACCTCCAGATCTATGCTCTGCACCTTCAAAAGATCTAGTGTCCAAATCACGTGTCTCTTCGGAATCACGCTGATGTTCCAGTTCCGTATCCAAGGCATCCATCTGCTTCAGCTCAACTTGTCCTCTCATCGACTCACCACTCAACATATCCATCCGTCCCTCCCGCTCACGCTGTCCCTTTTGCTCCGGCACCATACCAATCCCTATCAAATCATCGCTCTTTTTCTCCTTTTGTGCTTCCAGCTCTGTCTCCAATCGTGTAACAACCGCCCGCTCTTCTCTGATGTGCTGCAATATCTCGTGGGTTTTCTGCGTCGCGTCTCTCACTCCCTGCAGCGTCTTCTGCCATATCGTCACGTTCGCCACCGCCATCTGCCGCACGTCTTCAATTGCATCCATCGCGTCTCCCATCGCCCGCTCCACCTCTTCGTGCGCCACTTGCACAGTCGCTCTTGTCTCCAAGAACACCATCTCCAGCTGGGCGTCCTCCAGTCCAAAAAGCCCCGCGACCTGCTGCGCCGTTTCCAGCTGCTCTTCCACGTCCACAATCATCAGCTTTGTCTCGTCTATTTTCCCAGTAATCAACTGGTCCAGTTCGTGCACGGGCTCACTATCGCCCGTGACGGCAGGTGCACATAGCAGTACCACGAACCAACCTACGCTATGCCTCATCAGAACGTTTGCTAGTCGCTCGTTTTCTCTCTTATGTTGTGTCCGCTACACCACATCATCAATCTCCAGCGTTATTGCACGTCACACATCCGTCATACACAGTATGACGACGTTATGCGACAGAGCCTGCCATTCGTCAGATCGCTCCCAATGACGAACGCCGAAGCCGTCCTCGCCCTCGAGCCGGTCAGGAGCCCCGACGACGGCCACCACGAGCTCCAGCAGCATCTGCAGCTCGAGGCGTCCGACAGCAAGTACCTCACAGCCCAAGAGATCCTCCTGCTGCAGCTGTTCCAGTCAAGCGTCGACACAAGTGCGCCCTCGAACTCTCGGAGTTCGACGTTGAGTGGCGCAGCAGCTGCAACACATGCGAGCTCCGGCGGTTCAACTGCGTCCCCTGTCGCTCCATCTGCATCGCTTTCGGGTGGTCGTAAGAGCTCGTCGCCATTGGTGGGAAAATCTGCAGTCTTTGGGTGTGCGACGCCGCCGTCTATGATGACGCCCAAGCGTCAGATCTCGTCAGACCGAGCGCGAGTGCAGAGTTTCCTGGCTCAACGCTCGTCCGCTACGGCAATTGGAGGGGGAGGGAGTAGCGCTGGAAGTGTCGCAAGTACAGGGCCGTCATCAACGACAGCAACGAAACCGGTTGGACCATCGGCCGTGGAACGAGCCAAGCTCTTGATGGCCAAGAAAGCGGGAGGCACGAGGACGGCCGTGCAGTCTGCAGCTGTGAAGAGGACGAATCCTCTGACGGACATTCTGAGAGGGGGGTCGGGTAGTGTGGTGGGTGGCGTGTCGAGTGTCAAGAGACCGAGGAGCTGCAAGAGTGACAAGCCTGGGGAAATTAAGATCCAGGGAGGACGCGCGTCGATTCAATTGCCGCTCGAGAGTTTTCTCAAGACTGACGACTGGGACTCTGCGACCGGAACACCGTTGGATCTTGTGCTGCCGGAAGTGGCGTTTGCGACGAACAATACGCTGATCATCCATGCCACGTTGCCGCCTCGATCGACCCGTTGCTGCTTTAACATCAGTACTCAAGTGAGTATGCTCAGTGGCACTCCTTATCCTGGCACAGTGCTGTACCACTTTAGCCCCCGTCGTCAGCGAGGAGGACACATCATCCAGAACAGCAACATTGATGGACGATGGGGATGCTCCCAGCAATTGCCTCGCTGTCCCCTGACGTTTGGCGAGCCATTCACACTGCGCTTGACGGTCGTACCGACTGGTTTTCTCGTGTTTATTGAAGAAATCTTCCAAAATGAGTTCAAGCACCGCGTGCCTGTCCGTGAAGGTGAAAATCTCGTGCTTACTGTTCCAACTCAAGATGAAACAGGAAACCCGGAGGGCGTCATTGTCCACAGCGTTTGGTGGGGGCACGCAGAGGTGCCGCCCAATCTGGACACTCGCCGACGTGAGGTCAATGGCGGATATCGAGGACAGAATGTTGACGGTGATCGCGGAGGCCATCGCGGAGGTCACTCTACTAAAAGTAGCGACCGATTTCACCCTGCTCCTCATCCACATGAAGTATACGTGGGCAACCTTCCGCAAGGCACTTCACGCGAAGAACTTTCGTTTCTGTTCCAGTACCTGGGGTATGATACCGTGCGTATTACCGCTCGTGGATTTGGTTTCGTGACGCTACGTAGTGCGGAGGATATGAACCGAGCCGTGGAAGACCTGGATGGGAAGGAGTTTAACGGGATGAAGCTGCGTGTGTCAGGTGCACTTCCTCCAAGGTAGAGCGCCTGCAACGACAGGTCTGGTCCAGTATAAACGGTGAGACCATGGATGCAGTCGTATTGCGACAGACGTACTGCCAGTTCAACAAAATTGTACACAGTCAGTCGCTGGAGCCTTGCTCTGGTGCTTTCACACGTACCAGTTGACCGCAGCTGTCAGTCCGGTTATTGAAGTTGGCTTGTTGGCTTGTGTTTACCCTTCGTGGAGACAAAAGAAGAAGTCGCAGCTGAGGGAAAGTACCGGGACGATGGTGCTGGTGCCCGAACATCTGTACTGACAAGTTTGGACTGTCGTTCGTTGTGCGTGTTTGTTACATGAAGTGATCTGTCTCTATGGTAAAACGCTGTAGACGTGGACGTCAATGGAGAGGCCCTATACATTCGAAGAATCGTTCATCGCTGCTGTTGAGCCTGTTCGTAGTCGACCATGTCATGTTTTGGTTTGTTCTGTGCCTGTCCGTCGGCTAATGACATCACAACGTCCTCACGAGAGCGTCAAATGGGAGAGAGACATGGCGTTACACACCACACTTTGCGATGGCGCACACTGTGCATAGTGTAAAACCGTGGTCAAACTCAGATACTTTGTGGTACGACGTCTCACTCGGTACAGAAAGAAAGAAAGGCAGAAGGCCGCATGAATTGTGTACTTGCGTTATGGTCTACATGACATACATACTCAAACGTCGGCGGATGATCCAGGACGATCTGTCAGAGCTCGCTGTGTCTTCATCGAGCAACTACTTTGGCGCAGTGATCGACTTTGCCATGGGTTTCTTCGACTTCGGATTCGAGACGACGACGTTGTAAGGACCACAGCCACTAAAGGTGAAATCGTCGGGACAAGGACCCAAAAACTCCGAGTCGACGCGGCACCCAGTAATCTTGTAGTTGTAATTCTTGCCGTTCTTTACCGGAGAGTTGGCCTTTAAGACGCAGACCAGGAGACGGTCTGGATCCTGGTCGCTGTAAGCTTGTATCGCCGAATACAACTGCGACATCTCGGCGTGCGTAGCGCCAGTTTTGCCACCACGTAGATGGCGTGGAATTACATCCGACTGGTGTTGAGCCGCATCGGTGGCGCTCGAGGTGGTCAGCAAGGCCAAACTGAAAAGAGAAGCAGCAACAGCAATCAGTGATGGCATGGCGGTCTTAGGTATTCGAGCGTTCAGGTCACTTGGTCGGCTGGGGACTTGGTTAAAAGAAAGGAAGTTGGAGAATGCAGAAGTTTTTAGTGGAACTCAGCGCCGTTGTGAGTCACGAGGGCAGAGTCATTGAAGGGACGAGAGATCAAAGCGTTTGATCGTCACAATGTTTGCCAACCTCATGGCATCCTCCGTCAGGTCGTCGGATGTCTGAAATCGACTCGATTTTGCGTGGAATAGTTTGAGGCTCAGGATAGGCGGGCTGGACGTATGTGGCTTGCGTTGCCATTTGTTTCGATGAGGGGTCTTATGCCAGACGCCAGTGAACATTTGTGGCTGGTCGTCACTATAATTACTATCAGGTCAGACCTAGGACGGCAGGTGGCGGTCGTGGCTTTATCATACGAAACAACTGCGGTCATACTTTTTTGGACTCGATAGTTGCGGAATAGACTGCGGATACGGGAGAGGAAGTCTCGTTTGAGTAGACAGCAGACCTGAATCACATCATTGCAAGCCGAAGGGTGAAGCGATTAGTGAGTGTGCGCAAGGTCAGATGCCGAGCTTTTATATCGTACTTATCTGTGTCTGTCCATATGGCTGTCTGTTTGAAATAACGGGGCTAGGTGTACCACGCGCAAACTAAGTACGATCTAGCCTGTCCCAACCAGATAGGTATACAGGCATATCCGAAGTCAATCTTTGCGAGGTCACTATGTGGTGCACGCTTGTGATCAGCTTAAAGTTGAACAAAGGTGAATACGATCACATAATCGAATGCTAAACGCTTATATGCAAAGGCCGACCGCGTTGCCCAAGTATACAGTACTGCTATAATACAGACACGAGCAGCATCATATTCCTGTTAGAAGCTATTGTTTTTGGCAGGTCGTGAAGGTCAAGGGCAATACCCTGTCACACGGTTATTAACAACCGTACCTGATCGGCTAACAGACTTGACATCCTGACAGATGGGACGAGGCGACGATATCGCCACGTCCGACCACCAGAATGTTACACCATGTGAAGACGAGGCGACGAGATTACCACGTCGTCTTGCTGATGTCGTAAAAGATGGGACGGAGTGGGATAGACGTGAACTATAGACGGTATAGTTGCAGTCCGTTTCGCATGCATGTGTAGGTATTAACGAACGAGGAAAGTTAATACTTAGTATATCTCACTTTTACTTCTACATCTTCTGCAACAAGTGCAGCAACACTACTACTAACTCCTAACAATTCCTTCTACAGTTACTTCTATTCTGTGTTATTTTGCAACTTAAAATTAGTTCTATGAACTGTATTTCTTCCAGTAAAGAGCGAGCTTCAGGGCCTTGCTCCCCTATCTCAATCTACATAACATCAATTCAACAGATTGCTGCAATTCTACTGTTGTATCAATTCCCTAGTAAATGGTCATTCCCCGAGACCCTAGGTCATCATGGTCGTTGAACTTCGAACAACATGCAGCAAGATGGTAACCGCCATCAAACATAGTATAACACATTTTTATTATCATCCGAACTACCTTCTCCGCTATGTATATTATGAAATATTGCAATAGTCTTTGCATGTTACTTACGTGTGTTTTGCGAGATGACACCGTTGTGGCATTGTCTGTGCGTATACTTCCGCTTGAAAAAAACATCATGATGGTACTAGCTTCGACAACAAGTTCGTTTTCGTGTCAACTTAATACAAGATACGAATCAGAATACATTACAGCACGAACCGATTACATGTTGAGGTCGTACGATAAAAATGATATTGGATATCCTCATACCCACCCACCCCCTCCCTTCATTCTTCTAGCCCCATTTATGATCAAACAGGTACCCTCACATATTTAACAAACAAAGATTTGTTCTCGTACCGGTACTCCGCCAGCCTTTACTTCATGGTACTAGTGCATTTTCTAAGACTCGTACTAATACCTCCATATTCCGTGTAGTTTCGAACTAATCAAAAATAAGAGCCGTTAATGTCTCCTCATTTTTGGTAAAATTCCAACAGTCGGAAATTATACTAAATGATTGGCAAACTGCAGGGCATGCATAGAGGAACTTGCATCCTGATCATTTTTGTTTTCGAGCGTAAAATTGTCACAAAATCGTATACAACTTCAAAACATTTGCACGAGAAATGCCGTCAACTGGACGTGATTGCGGGATTTCCGGCCACCGGAGGTGAGGTCCTTGATCATTGCGATGTGAGTGAGTGGAAGGCAATCCAATCGACCCGAAGGAATCATTCATTTGCATCATCGAGGACACTAAATCTGTCAAAAAAAAAAATTAAAGCCATTAGCGGCCTTGGACAAGTCTATGAGAAGAATATGCGGTCGTCACACGAGGGTAGGTCGTAGGGCACGACGACGTTAAAGTTAACACGTCCGACATCCAGAGTACTAAAGATACTCGGTTTGGAATATCAGTAAATCCCATGACTGCTTTGATGAGCACGCCCTTCACGCGTTTTAGGTGCTTTTGCTCGTGCATCACTGCAAAGCATTCTTACTTGCGCGAGCTTGTAGGCCCCTGGTGCATATTAAGGGTTAGATTTATAATCACACGGTCGATTACAGATACTTTATTTAAGACCGCAAGCACACCTTGAAGTACCACTTAAAACACCATGTTTACATGCAATCCTGCTTAACGTATCTACATTGCTGGCAGAACAGCTTTGCAGCCACTAATACTGGTCAAAATCGTGATGATTCAAGGGGACCGGTAAATTATAACGTGACAGAGTATCTTTGCTGACATGAATACATCAGTGTAGATTTAAAAAGACCAATACGTACTATCTACCTCTTCATTACTTAACGGCGATGCGGCACGAAGTATGTGCCGCGTAGTGCATACTTGGTTTCTATACCATTACCAGCAGAAGAAGCGGTCCTGATATCAGGTACACCATTGCCTACTCTGCTGTGTATCGCTGCATAGTAGCAGCTAGCTAGGTGTCACACGAGTGACAACTGCAACATCCACTTACTTGGATGACTTAAAGAAGCACCTATAGCATTATAGCATTGTCATGGAGACCGGAATATTTAGCTGTGCCACGAGCATACCTTCGATGTCCCTATACTTCCCATAGCGGCATGTGCTCTTCATACGCGCGACGTATATGTTTATCACGCTGTTTTTTGTGCAAGAACGCCGACACGTACTTCACCTTTTGCATCATTGATTAAATTACAATGCCACATGATATACGCTGGATTAAAGCCCTCATGAAATACTGTGAAAGCCAGAATGGTATCTAATACATATGAAAAAAACGGGTAAGAATTCAGAATTAGCAATAACAGATTAATGTTTGACTAAAGGTTTGCTTATTACTTTCATAGATTGGTGTCACTAATCAAGATGTGGCAAAGTAGATCAAGAGAGGTAAAGACGTAGATTGCGCTATGCAGAAAAAGAAATTCGATAATAATGAAGGTTCGGGACCGGAATGGATGGAGCTCATTTACCTTTAAATTAACTGATGGGTCACGCGTTATGTTCCGCTTATCGTTCTTTAGGTAGAAGGACAAACACGAAAGTACCGCCCACTAGTTATGTCGACCTTTGTCGGAGAGCTAGTTCTATAAAAGACCAGACGTGATATTCACCTCCCTGCGTACGGCGCATCCACACCTTTTCTATAAGTTGAGGATAATACCCATTCAGCTGAACCTCTTACAGCAATCTCATCTCTCATGCATTGGCGCTAGCAGCTTCCTTTGCGAGCTCCAGATTGTTATGGGTTTCTGTTGAAGGTGATTGGGAAGAGATTACCTGGAGTCACCCATTGTGATCCTTTTCAGGAAAAGAGTTTCTAAGGCAGGGTGTGTGGGGACAAGGGTGTACAGAAATCTTGGTTTGGCTGCGATACAGTTAAAGTGACCAAGGGTGGTGTAGGAAGAACTATGTTTGGGGAGGCGTTCACAAACTTGTTGGATATCCGTTTTTTTTGGGGCGATCCACTTGTTTTTAGGCTAGGTGCTGGTTTTAGGATCCTCGTATTGCCAATTGAACCAATGCTCTAAGTAGCTGCCGACGCATGATTATCAAAACAAAACATAGATCGTTGGTAAGTCGATCAAACGTTTCGTCTATTTTCCACATCAAACCAACAATTGCACCCCTAACAAAGTAAACTAATACCGGCACAACCATTCGGCTACTTAAGACCGCGGTGCCCCAGTCCGACCCCTAGCATATAAATTGCAATTTCCCCCACACATTATGGGAGAAAAGTCGTAGCATCCAAGAAAGAGAGGAGCCGTTGAAGCCCTTATACGAACTGTTACGGATGGTCAAGCAACTGGCACAGCTGCTGCTGTAGGAGGAAACCGGCACGCTATGCGACCAAAACGAAGCATCTCATACCGTCGTGCAACATTAAGCACGTGGTACGATGATCATGACCGGTACATTGTCAGATAGAGGGACTTCACTCTCACCTTACTCCAATCACCGCTCAGATACAATCTTTGCGTGTGATCGATCTGCATAAATGATAGGACGGGTCGCATGTCAATCTTTCTCGAGAGTACTGACCACTACATGTTATGATTCTGATGAAAATGAAGATGAAGAAGAATTTACTGTATCCACCTCTGCACGCAAGAATCAGTCTCCCAACGAACGAAAAATCGATGCGCTCGTTAAGGAGTACGTGACTTATTTCCTAATACAAAGGATTTCGATCGTAAGCGCGAAATAGTGGTACAGTATGCCTTTTTGAAGCTCTAATTATGCCTCATAGCACTTAATTACAAAAATTAGGGCCACACGAAAAAGTTTAGTTTGCAATACACACACTTTTAAAAATTAGTGTTGTGAATGTCGATCGATGACTCAAACAAATGGACTCAGCAGTTGCAGTGTATACATCTTCGCTACTGTTAATTTTTTTGCTGTGTGTGGGACTGCGAGAAGGTATACGTAAAAAGTATATTTCAAGTTTATATCGCGCTAGAAGGCCGCTGTGTGCCTGGCT